GGTTCAATTGGAGGCGTAGTTATTTTATATAAAACATTTCGGGTAGTTTTATGCAGAGTAAACTTGTTTTGGTAGTTTCTGAAGTCGCAAAAAATGCTGAGAAAGCAGCAAGTATAGAAGGAGGGGCGAACTACTTTCTTTCGCTCTTATTTATTTTTATTTCTACAGCCATTTTTACTAGAGATTTAGTTCTTACAATAAAAATAACTAGTTACAATAAAAATAAAACCCCTATCCGTATTAACTAAAATTGCTCGATGATGTAGTTTGAAATAAATGAATGATAAACTTTGAGTGTTGATTAAACTTTATTTTCTTAATGTTGACATAGACCAATTTATATATACATTTTTCAACATTTTATATTATATTTGAAATATGTAGTATTTGTTGATATTAAATATACTTGGAAAGACATATACACTAGGTTAATCCTTGACGAACATTTTGAGAAAATATTTATAACATAGTATAGCTTATGCTAAAGTGATATTCCCTCCATTTTTCAATTAAGTATTGTTTTATATTAGAGATAATAATATCCCACATTGGAAAGGGCAATGAATTTTGACTAGTATATAAGATATATGGGTCAATCCACTCATTGCCAATTAGTTTTGAGTTGGAAGCCCATAGTCTAATATTTTAGATTTTTAATGTAAAAATTTAGTCGAAATTCCAGTTTTAACTCTGTATCATTTTAATGCATTAATAAGAAAGAGAAAAGTATATCTTCTATAAATAAGGAGTATTGTAAAAAAATTTCATTATCTTTAGTTTCTCGCACTACAAATGTCAAAGCGGATAAACTGAAACGAACTGTTCGTACCCAGCTGCATCATATCACCTATGTAAATAACATTCCCCAACATTGGTTTATCTGAGTCAATCTAATATAGCTGTTGAAAAAAAAAGAAAAAAAAGGAGTATTGTAAAATTTTTAATAGATTGTTTTAATATGTGTAAAAAAAATTTAAACGACACTTAAACTAAAACGGGGGAATAATAAACTGAAAACACTAGTATATGTACATATACAATAAAAGCTCAATAAATTAAGAACATTGAGACTATGACATTTTTATATTAATGTGTAAAGTTATTAATTTATCGATATAATAATGAATCTAAATAAACCAATTCGGGACTAAAGAAATGTATTTACTTATCGAGGTATTAATTTATAAAGGATATACCGGACATAACTATCTAAGTTTGTAATTAATCATTTTATTTTATAAAGCCATATATGATATATGCATGTAGATATGTGGTGTGGAACTTAAGTACTTTAATGTAGCAAATTATTATTATTATAAATACTGTTACAAAAGAAGCACATAATTTAAATTAAAAATAAAGACAATTATCATTGATAATTATTTCTTAAAAATAAGATTACATCTGAAGAGACAAATCAAGGCCCCAATCTTTAGAATCATTCATGATGGAACTGCTTTCTCTGAACTTTGGAATAAGATCTACCGAGTAGTGGTCACGACTTCCAATGGTTGAAATGAGATCCCTTGTATAAAGCTCCGGGATATGAGCATTGCCACGAACAAGCTTTCGTGATAAATCACATAAAAATGAGGTTGAAGGACATGAAGAAGGGGGATCAAAACTCATGGTCAAACAACCATGTTCAGAACTATAACGAATTTTCTTAAATGGTTGGAGATCTGATTTGGCTATAGAAGCATCAAAGAAACAAGCACTAGTACGAAACTTATTGAAGGGAGAAAAGTTATTCAAAGATCGACAACCTTGTGAAGATCGAGAAAATTGGGAGTATTGATCATAGTAGAAGAGGCTAGAATGCTCCTTCTCCATAGTTCTACTTATGTTTTGAGAACAATTTTGTGGCTTTGTTTTGTGAAAACTTTTTCTTGCTTAAACCCTAGATTGTAAGACAATTTGTTTTCTACTCAAAACCATACTGGTTTTATAATGGCTGGCATTTACACATTTGATGAGAGATAGGCTGTGTCCAATTTATTAGTCCAAGTATCTAACGGTCTTAATTAAGCTTATTTAAGCACTTTTGGTATAATATCTTTAGAGTTTGAAAATCACATTAATGTCGTGAAACTAGAAAAAGTTATTATCAAATTATATAGAAAAAAATAATGCCCAATATTAACTTCCTTCCTTAAATGATATTTTATGTGCTTATATTGCTTTCATAAAGCTTTGAAAATTAAATGTACAGCTAATTAATACTCAATTGTTGATTATTTAGAGTCATAATACTCAATTATTGATTACATGTTAAAAATGAGTCACAAAAATTAATAATGATACTGTCATTTAATTGATGCCAGTGCAGATAGAACAAAATATCTAATTGAAAGTTCTTGTGGCTAGGAAAAAATTAGTAACCCAAAATGATTTTGTTCATTCAGAAAAAGAAGCAGTTTGTTCTTAGACATCAAATTTTCTTTTGTCAATCAACATATCAGATTTTTTCTTAATATTTTTTTGTTTGAAATTTTATGTTTTATAATGAAAAAGTCACAAAATGCATACTAACCACATTGAATGGCATAACTTTTACTTACATAAATTCAGATGTTATAAACTTTTTAAAAGAAAATTATATCTAATATAATCAAAAGAACATTTTTGTAGAGACTAATTCTTTTTCTATATTGTTATATTCAAAATCTATAATTTAGATGCTATGCGAGAAGTGATTAGTTAGAATAAGAGGGGGAGGTGAATAAAAAAATTTACCCCTAAAAATGAACCCAAGAATTGTTCATCTAATTATATAAGAAACGCCGGTCAACTCTTTTGAGTTTCACTGTATCACCTTTTTATATACATTACATTATCATTAAATTTAAATCGATTATAAATTCTTATTTTATTTTCACGATAAACTAATCTTATTTTTTGCAATACTTAGATAGATAGCAAACGAATCTTGACGATCACAATAGATGGTTCTACCGAAAGTTGAACTTAAACCCAAACGATGGATGCTTGGTCTTGAGTCCCAAAGCATATGATGTATTTCATCCACCATGGAATTGACAAAAAAAATCTGTAGTGTAGTAATAGTGGTCTTAAAAGTTTGTGTACTGAAGTTCCAAGTTTGAATTTTTCTTTTACAAATCATTTTTAATTTATAAAATTAATCACAAAATGTATAGGCTATTAATTAATTAAAAATATATATTACTACACTCGTGCCTTCAGACTCACAGGACCGATTATAATTTCACCCACACGACTAAGGTACACACAAATTGGTTATATGTGTACTATATTCATCGTGGACATTTTTATTTTAGAACATGGGACTATGACCGATTCTATCTACACCATGTTGAAAAATCTCTGGGACTTCAACTTCATATCTGGAATCAGAGCCGGCCACGACTACAAGTGAGCCAAACACCAGCTTGCGGCCGCCCAAGAGTTTATTAAAATAAACGGCCAACAAATAATTATCAGCTCTACTGGTAAATGTGAATTATTACAAGAGAAGAGGTTTCTGGTTCGATTCCCACTAAGTACATTTTAAAGTTTTTTCATTTTTTTTTGATAAATCAGTATTTGGTTTGTCTAAAAATTTTTTTGGCTTGCGGCCACCTATTTCCTAAGGACGGCTCTGTCTGGAATAAAAACATTAACTAAACTCTTAGTCAACCACTAGAGCAAAATAACTTCATCATTTTATCGCAATCCACAAACAATATTGTAACACCTCGGTTTCAGGAATATGGTGGTGCATGCGGAGATGTTTAAAAGAATTGATTTGGCCTCCTATGTCACCAAAGTGCACTTATATTTTCGGTCAACTGTCCTGAGAGAACTCCATAGTTAAGGGTGCTTGAGCTGGAGTAGTTTCAGGATGGGTGACCTTCCGGGAAGTGATTGTCGGAACTGTGTGAGTGAGTACAAAACACAGGGAAAGATCATGTGGTGATTTGTAGGGTCGGTAAACAAGTCTTTAAAGCCTCCCGGACGTAGCGGACCGGCCGTCGGACAGGGGTGGGCCCATGGGCAGAGAGAGGATGTGGAGCCCACTGGTAGGGATGGTCGGGGCGTTACAAGTGGTATCAGAGCCGAACCCAGACGAGTGTGGAGTCAAGAGGGCTCACACCGTAGGGGGTGACGGTCTTGGTGCGCAACGAGGACTAGGCCTGGGCAAAAAAACCGGACCCAATACCCGGACCGAAAAAACCGGGTTGGGGCGGGTTAGGGTATTAGGAAATTACTTCATTGGGTAGAGTTTTGGTCTACCCGTGGGTATCGGGTCGGGTCGGGGAATACCCGTTACCCATTTAGGGTACCCATAAACCCGAAACTTTTAGACATGTGTTTATATATGTATATAGATATATAGTCATATAGTCTTATAGCCCTAGCTTTTGAGTTTTAACGATTGAGTTTCCTAATTTGCTTCTAGAATCCCTATTCCCTCGATAATCTCTGCTTAAAATCTCCTTTTGAGTCTTATTATCGAAACTGGAAACCCTCGTCGCGACACTCTCGGCGATCTTACCGTCACCGAACATTCCGATGTCATGTGATTTTGGATTGGATTTAGTCTTTAGATGTCATGTTTGATGTTTTGTTCTCTTTATTTGATCATTTGAGCATGTATAATGATTTAAAACTTCGGGTATTAGAGTCATATTTCGGGTTTATGGGTAATTTTACCCATTTAGACCCGAACCCAATGGGGATCCAAATTTTTCGAGTTTTTTCGGTTCTCATGCTTATTACCCAAACCGACCCGAACCCGACGATACCCGAACCGGACCGGAACCGAATATTTAGAAATACCCGAATGGGCCATAAATTCATTACCCATTCAACCCGAACCCGAACGGGTTTTACCCAAACCCGAACGGGTTACCCATATGCCCAGGCCTAACGAGGACGTTGCGATCAGTTAGTGGGGGTGAATTGTAACACCTCGGTTTCAGGAATATGGTGGTGCATGCGGAGAGATTTAAAAGAATTGATTTGGCCACCTATATCAACAAAGTGCACTTATCTTTTCGGTCAAACATCCTAAGAGAACTCCACAGTTAAGCGTGCTTGAGCTGGAGTAGTTTCAGGATGGGTGACCTTTCGGGAAGTGATTGTCGGAACTGTGTGAGTGAGGACAAAACACAGGGAAAGATCATGTGGTGATTTGTAGGGTCGGTAAACAAGTCTTTATAGCCTCCCAGACGTAGCGGACCGGCCGTCAGAAGATTGTGGGCCCACGGGCCGAGAGAGGACGTGGGGCCCACTGGTAGGGACGGTCGGGGCGTTACAAATATTATTTTCTTGATAGATTTAATAAAATATAGGTTAAAAAATATTATAAAAATATTTACTCTATGTAAGTTTTTTTTTTTGGATCTATAATATGCCTTTGCTGATTTGAACTTAAGTGGTGATGCAACAATTAATTACACTAGATTTTGTACCCGCGCGTTGCGCGGGATTTTAATTTAAATTTTCTTTTACTAATAAAAAATTTGAGTATAAAATATAATTATTTAAATGTAAAAGATAAATATTTGAGCATATATATAATAATTTAAATTTTAACATCATTTCATATAAAATGTAAATATACCCAGTTTTCTGAACATTATCTAGTGTAAAAATACATATATAATATCATGTTGCTAGAACCGTTTTAGCAAAGCTTTTTATACCCATTGAAGCATGTGCATGGTGCCATAAGAGAATTCTCGACTAAGTTATCAATGTGCCTATTTTATCTAAATTTTCATGATTACACGACCAAACGGTTAAACCCAACTTTGAATCTAATAATTTGTTTAATAAAGTGTGTGATGTATTTTTTTTAAAACTCATTCGTTTCACACAATGCATGAGATCTCAAAGAATTTGACCTTATTCATGTGCATTATATTTCTAAGTTTTAGAAATTTATTTTCAAACACTTTAACCTACCAATTCTTTCGTCATCTTCTATGATGCACTCGTTCACTCTCGACATCTACTTTATTTTCACCTTCTATTGACTCACATATTATATATATTGGACTATGAATTGATTTTCAAGACATATCATTAACTATTTTCTCCTTAATTAATCTTTTAATACTCAATTTTTTGGATTAAAAGCGTTTGATTCAATTGATGAAATATCAATCTTGTTTTTCTTTTGATCATGTTATAAAGTTGTAGTTGCACTTGAGAATATGCTATACAAATTACATATCCTTTTTTTTTAATGGAAGTATATTATTACTACTAATAATATTTTTATAGTTTTATAATTATTTTAACATCTCATTTATTTTACATAATTCGTTTTTTATTTATTTAAATTTTTTATTAATTATAAGTAACATAAATATGCACTAAATGAATGTTTAGAGTGTATTTTAATGTAAAATAAATAAAATTGCTTAGGTGGATGCTTATGTGGAGCTTAGGTGGATAGGCTAGATGGAGAGAAGACTCTCCCATTATATATATAGATTAACAAAAAAACATTAGTCATAATTTATATATTTTCATTAGTTAATTGATAAATCCTCAACAATGGCACGATCACCTTTGGGCAAGTGGCTTTCCTATTTAATTCATAAATCATTCAAATATACTAGTGAATTTTAACATTCAAAAGCTACTGAATCAGAGTAGGACACATAGACATGCCATGATCCCTTATGGTCATCATAACGAGAAACTCCATTTGGAAGTACAATGTCCATATCTCGGTTGTTCGTCAATCATCTTCGACAATTACCATTAGGAGACAATCAGCAACTCTGTCATAGATGACTGCGTGTCATTCATCGCTAACAGCTACATATAGATCTCTTCATCGGCAGTTGTTAGTCACTCGTCTTGAGCGCCTATTTTTAGAAGGTCACTAGGCTCGGTCCACATACCAAGCCACTAAAACCGTTGTTTTGGGCCTCATAAAGAAAGGGTTTTTTTTTTCTGTAGGGTTTTATAGTAGCAAACAATTTTATTTTGCTTGTTTCGACACTTTGAGGGCACTTTTTCCCCTCGGCTTCAATTACAACTAGGCCTGGGCAAATAAACCGAACCGAATGTATCGAACCAAAATTGAAGCAAAAAGAACCCAACCAAACCGAACCGAAAATTTGAAAATAACCGAATGGATACTAAATTCTATAACCGAAAAAATCGTAACTGAAACGGTACCGAACCGAAATATTTCGGGTAACCGAAAATACTCGAAATACAATTATTTTTTCAAAATATTAGTTATTTATAGACCAAATAATAACAATACTTGAAAATATAGGAAAAACGGTCTATTTCCCCACGAGAACTATGACATCATAACAGATAGAGCCCAATCTATGACCACGATCTAAATATCCCCGAGAAAATACTTCTCAACCTATATCTCCTCGAATCGATAGTTCTCATCTATTTCTCCATAAATTTGGATTTACTCGGTTTACGACCTAAACCGACATCAAACCACCCCAAAACCAACATTAAACCATATTAATGAAATCAAGCAAACCTGAAACAAAATTATGTATCATGTTGCCGGAATTGACAATCGAGAGCTTACAGATGTAGCTGAGTAATTTTGAAAGCTAATGGCAAAGGAGGAAACCACTGGAAATTACATCTGACGTTTCGTCCTTTCTCGGCCCGCGGGCCCACCACCCGTGTCCGACGGTGGGTTTGCTATGTCCGGGAGGCTTTAAAGACTTGTTTACCGACCCTACAAATCACCACATGATCTTTCCCTGTGTTTTGTCCTCACTCACACAGTTCCGACAATCACTTCCCGGAAGGTCACCCATCCTGAAACTACTCCAGCCCAAGCACGCTTAACTCTGGAGTTCTCTCAGGACAGTTGACCGAAAAGATAAGTGCACTTTGGTGACATAGGTGGCCAAATCAATTCTTTTAAACTTCTCCGCATGCACCACCATATTTCTGAAACCGGGGTGTTACAATTCACCCCCACTAACAGATCGCAACGTCCTCGTTGCGCACCAAGACTGTCATCCCCGACGGTGTGAGCCCTCTTGACTCCACACTCGTCTGGGTTCGGCTCTGATACCACTTGTAACGCCCCGACCTCCATACCTCTCTTAATGGGCCCCACGTCTTCTCTTGGCCCGTGGGCCCACCCGTGTCCGACGGTGGGTTTGCTACGTCCGGGAGGCTTTAAGACTTGTTTACCGACCCTATAAATCACCACATGATCTTTCCCCATGTTTTATCCTCACTCACACAGTTCCGACAATCACTTCCCGAAAGGTCACCCATCCTGAAACTACTCCAGCCCAAGCACGCTCACACTTAACTGTGGAGTTCTCTCAGGACAGTTGACCGAAAAGATAGGTGCATTTTGGTGACATAGGTGGCCAAATCAATTTTTTAAAACTTCTCCGCATGCACCACTATATTCCTGAAACCAGTGTGTTACAAATATCCTAAAAATGGTGACATATGTAAAGGAACAATATATATAAATATATACGGAGGTACATTACTAATCCAAAGACCCTAAATGTTTCTACTACTTCTTAGCTATTTTCAAAACAATGTAACTACATCAATGTTATAACATTTTGGCTAAATAGATGTTCAAGAAAACTGACAAATAGTTTTGGTTTCTCCACATACTTCAAATCAAGGCACATAACCTTGAGAGGATTTAATTCGGTTATGAATATTTAATCAGGACGTATTGGAAACTGCAAAAATTGTAGAACACTCACGCGATATAGATATTGGAGTAAGAAACAAAAAATTGGGAAATAATAAAAGAAAATTAACTAGAACACAATTGGGAAAATTCCCAAAAAAAACCTCATTTATTTTTTATTTGGACGTTTAATACCCAAATGTTTTTCGTTGGTAGAAAAATACACAAATTAATTAAAATGTGCGATTTAATACCCAAAAAATAAAATGTTATCATTTTCAGTTGTAGCAAAAAATTTATAAAAAATAAAATTTATTTTATTTAAAAAACTGGAAAGAAATAAAGAACTGAAAATGAAAATGATAACATTTTATTTTTTGGGTATTAAATCGCACATTTTAATTAATATGTGTATTTTTCTACCAACGAAAAACATTTGGGTATTAAACGTCCAAATAAAAAATAAATGAGGTTTTTTTTGGGAATTTTCCCGAACACAATTACATGTGATTAGAAGAAGAGATGATACAAGGAAATGAACATTTAAAATGAAATTCAATAACTTAAAAGGATAACAACCATCTTCATATAGAAATGTGGTGAATATAAGGTCTCTAGTAACTATGAAACCTCTAAAATGAAAAATTACATAACGCATAAAACTAAAAAAGATACTCAAAGGGATAAAGATAAATCAATTCCCCCGCTTTTAGTTTTTTCTTCTTCTGGTTGGATATCATCATCATCATCATCATCAATCTCCACAATATTGTTGTTTGTTCCAATCTTTGAGATGAAATTCTCCTCGCTCAAACCGCTTCCTTGCGAAACCAAATTGCTAGAAAGTTTGGTGGTTTGAGGAGGAGGAAAAGGAAGAACGTTTCTAGAGTTTAATGGGTAAAGGTTGTTGTAGGATGGTAAAGGATCAAGGACCCTTGAAGCAGAACCATTGGTACTAGTGTTCCCGGTGAAGAAGCGAGTAGGAGTCACACGAGGAACGACAGCCACGTTCATATCCGCAATTCCTCCAATGACTCCACTCTTGAAAGATGGGTAAATTAAGCGTTTAAAAGGATCAAGAGTGATCCCAAGATGATTTTCATTTGATAAAGCATCTTGTGAATACCCACCTAAGAGAATGTGAGGCTTATCAAGGTAAGGGTTAAAAAAGGCGAGCCCAGGGTAGTCGGCTTGCATCTCCTTCCGCTTTTTGTCCCACTCCCGCTCTTGCTTGTGCGCGTTCTGGTGACCACCTAAGGCTTGAGAGGTTGAGAATCCTTTCTTGCAAAAATGACAAGTGTAGATCTTGTTCGATTTTGACGGGTAAAACTTCATGATCTCTCTTCCTCTTCGGACAGGGCTAGATCCAAAACTAGAGTTCTCAAACCTCCTTTCAGAGGTAACCTCTTGAGGAGAACCTAGTTTCAGATTGGTGCTCCTTGTTGCCTTCTCTTTCGACTTCTCCATGGCCACAACAATGCC